GCAAACTATTTTGAGGTTTTTTTGTTTTGTTCTGTTTTTTTAATTCACTGTTCCTTTATTCAGGACACCAATAAAATTGCAAATTTTGTAAAATTACATTTAGGAACCAGTAAAGAACAGCATCTTGCATGCATGCAAAAATGTTACCACACTGTCGGACATTAAAGATCATTTGCTATAACTTTGGAAGCCTTCTACTTTTAGCTTTTGAAACACTTCGGTCCAAAGTTTCTAAACGAGATAGTATAGGTATAATATTTGGTAATAAAAAGACTTTTACTCAATCACAGCAATGCTTTTCTAAACAACCAAATACAAATGAAACGCCTTTGCGCCTCAATTCTAAGGGAATTGGAATCACTCGTCTTAAGTTTTATCAAACTGACACTACCAGACTAAAAAAAGGTTCTCACGTGCCAAATAAAAGTAATCTCACATTTTATTTTCCAGAATAGAAATGTGAAGCTTTTCCCCTTGAAAAATTCACATGACATTCTATCACAAGGCCTATTAATGCAGACTCTGGAGAAACCCCAAATGTAATTGTAATCAAAAAATGGTTCAAAAAGCTGCATCAAAGACAGCATCTGTGCTGCAGATGTTAACCCAACCCTTACTTCACTAGCAAGGCCCTGCATTTCATCCCTATCAACACAAAAATAAATGAATGAAATACACAAGACTAGAAACCTTCCTGAAGGACCTGGCAACCAATAAAAAAAACAAAAACAAAAAAACAAAAACAAAAACAAAAACAAAAAAAACAATCCTGGCCCTAGCTGAAGTATTTTTAAAAGGATACATTTATCGGTGATAATGTACTGGGCATGCTTTCTTCTCTCTCAACACCAAAATGTAGCAAAGACTTTTCACTCCCTCACCTAAGTTTCTTTTCACAGAGAAAAGCATATGGTATTTACCACATAGCAACAAGAGTGTGAATTCCAAGCTTTCTCCCTACAGTTCAACAGTATGCCAAAGGTGCCAGCAGGCTTTCAGAGGGGTATGTTCTAAAAAGAATGCAGTTTCCCAAGGGGTTTCAAATCTTCACTCCAGCCTCTTTCTACAACACTCAGAGTGAATCCGTTGTTACAATCTGTCTAGACGTTATCCATCCAGCAGCCTGTGACAAGAGACTTCTAGGATCCAGAATTTAAAGTCTCAACACAAACTAAGTTGGGCAGGCCTAGCTTGCTGCATTTACAGCAGGTGTCTGTGCTTTCTCTGCCCCTCACTGCCCTTTTGCAACCTCGTCTATGAATGCTATTAAATACACACTGCATGTATCTATATTAAATAATAATCTCTGTGATTTGTGTTGATGACAGACACAAATACTGTGACTTGTGGCTCATATTTGTAAAGAAGGAAAAGTTAGTATTCTTAGAGGTTACTGATATTAATATCCTTTCCACCCAAGTTAATGGTTCACCTAAATTCTATGAGCTTCTATTAAACAACTCTTTTTTTTTTTTTTTTTTTTTGGTTTTTCGAGACAGGGTTTAGAGCCTGTCCTGGAACTAGCTCTTGTAAACCTGGCTGGCCTCAAACTCACAGAGATCCGCCTGACTCTATGTTCCGAGTGCTGGGATTAAAGGCATGTGCTACCACCACCCAGTATTATTAAAGAACTCTTAATCAGTTTTTTTGCAAAACAAACAAAACCCAAGTGTTACACGTCCTTATTCTGTTACATCCATCCATACATGTAAAACCGGGTCTTAAAGTCCTTACTAAACATAACATTTTCCCCCCACTGTTAATACAGAGTTTCTAGTACTTTTGATCTTTTCTGTAATTCTCTGACGTGTTGTTCAATTGTACCGGATCTAGAACACACACACACACACACACACACACACACACACACACGTTCATTCATATTTAAAACTATTCTTCTCACCTTGAGAAACTTTCATCATAATTTGAATATAAAACTGTCACTTTCTAGTTGTCTCCACCCTAACACGGTTACATCTTAGCCACAATCCCTTGTCACTACATGACACATCCTTCTCCACTTCCCTTCGAGCCAGTAACTTTTATGGTTCCTCAATTTTTAAAAGATAAAAACGTAAAAGAGGCTCCCCACGGATTTTCACATTTACCATCTTCATGTAACCGACTCGTCACGGGCCTAGCCACTCCCGCGGTCCGGGGACAAGAAGAGAGGGGACAAGAAAAGAGTGGGGTCCCCGGAGCTCCGAGCAGCGCCGGCCCAGCGGGCGGCGGCCGAGAAGCACACGCGGGCGGACGGAGCGGGCTCCGACCCGTCCCGGGGCGTCCGGGGCTGGGGAAAGGAAGTCACCTGAGATGCCCA